ACGATCCCATAAACTGCGCTGCCGCATCATGCATTCACAGTTGCAAGAGAGATTAACTTTGCATATCTGAAACTGAAATTTTATCTCCCATGATATCTGCATGGGAACAATAATCACGTATAAGGAATCTCCTGAATAAATATTTTGAAATCAAATGTTGACATTTGTAAATAATACTGACTCAGGTAAACCTAAAAATGGCTTTCTTCTGTAAATTTTAAACTTACCGGTTCAGCGATTCAATAAAAAATTTCGATAGCTGAAAATACATGCACACACAAATATCATTTTTCTTCGATGTCTGTTCCAGCATAAGCCACTCCCACACGTTTCATGTTGTTTTTATTGGTTAAATCAAATCGTTATAATATCATGATAAATCTGTTACAGAAGCGTGCCATAGGTATTTTTTAGACTCGAAATATTTTCAAGTTCGGGGGCACTTAAAGTAAACGGCCCAGTTAATGACAGTTTAAGAGCGGCCGTATCGGATTTTTGCTATTTATTCACGGGTAATATAGCCAAACTGTAAACTCAAGGTTTCAAAACGTGCGTTAAAGCCGTTCTAATGAGATTCATTTATTATACAAGTGAAACAATTAAAGTTTATTACTAATCATTGTTTTAATAGCGCTTGTCTGCTGCCGGGATTTCTGACACTCGAGAAATACCCATGTCGTAGTTTGTGATTCCTGCGTGTAGCTGATTTATGACCCCCTTGGCGCAATTTATGGTGCCTGCGAGTATCCACTTTCTCACACTTCCGAATATCCCTATGCAAACGGTTTAAATTGCAATTAATGTAATTTCAAGGACACACATTAGGTAAAAACAACGAAAAATGTTTAATTAGTGCACGCCTACTTTATGTTCTTGACATTTGTAAAAATATTAAAAAAAAATGATTTCCGGAAATTTTAATAATGTCATCGTTTTACATTTTTTCCCGTTTCTTCCGTTCATGAAAACTAGTATCCTTTTCTTTAATTTGTTATATTACGGCAAATTAGAATAAATAAATAAAGTAAATTGTTTGTTCGACGCACCTGGTTACAAATCAAGTGTCAACAACAACAGCAACACAGTGTCACTTATGTGACGCACTTATTGACCCCGCGAATTTGAACGAATATCTAACCGAAATTTAAATAATTTCTTATTTCACCGATAGTCTGGTTCCTACTGAAGATGTTGACACCATTTTCATGTCATTTTATACTTATATGACAAACAAAATTCACAACGACGTAGCTTGTCGCAATTACTGCTACCGTCTAGCACAGCTGCTGCGGAGCCACTGAGGCGCGTGTCGCACTATTCACTGGTCAATTTCTATTTTAAAATATTTTATTCAAAAAAGTGTGTTTCTCCAATAATATAAAATGAAAAACGCTTTTTAATTAGCCGGTAATTGATTATTATTCGACAAAAACTGCATTTATAGCAGTCAAAATTATGTTGTCCGGGTCACAATCTGGAACAGGGTCAGTCACTGGGCCGTTTACCTTATGTCATAAGATTTTAAGGCTTTTTCATGCGATCGATATTATCACATGCAAACCACGTATAAGACTGTAATACTGAATAACCCAGTTAAAAGTGGCTGCAGTAGATAATGCGTGCTTGTGGCTTTTTTTGGTGAGCCAAATTTATTAATATTACAATGGAGTCTCTCACAACTTACATTCTCCTAGCTTGCGGGAAGTTAGGGTTATGGACGTTCCAGCGTTGCCATTGGTCACAAGTGCGAGAGAGGCGGAACCACCACGAATCTTTCGAGTACGTGATTAATCGTTTGGTTAGTTACGTATATCCGCGTTAAGATGTGAGAGACTTGGCTGTATAGTACACAGTGAAAATAAAGCTCTATAATTGTTAAAGCTTTTGGTCATTATTTTATTACCGTCCCATAGTTGAAGTGATAATATTTGGAACATCTTTTAACTTTTTGCAAATCTTTTCTTTGACTCGAGAAAAAAATATTCTATTAAGCTTCCGTGTTAACATCATTAAGATGACGTGAGGTACCGATGAAACGTAATGTCTATGTAGTGCCTGGTAAAAATAAATAAATTTACCTAGAAAAAATAGTATAACAGATGACATGTGTCCTCTCGATTGTGCATATGGAGGCACTTTAATGTTTTGATCTTCCCTTTTTTTCGTTCCTTTTCAGATGTTTTCAGGAATTTTTTGCGTTGCTAGCATTAGGTTTATTTCAATGAAACTTTGGGAATATATTTATTCATATTTGAACGTGCTATACTAAATGCATCCGTTGATCTAAATAATAGAAGAAATGAGAAGCTGGACCGTAAGAAGCTACTGGACCTGGACCAGTGATTGCGTCTGTTCCAATGATCCAAAAAAAAAGGCACAATATATTTATTGATATGTGAAATGTCCGCTGTTTTTAATAAACGAGTTGTAAATTTCCTTCAGGAAAGTTAACCCAAAAAAGGCATATTTATAACCGGAAGTCAAGTCTCCATTGTTCAGTCACGATCATATTTTTTTTTAAATTCGTTTAAAAAAGTTATAACACGGTTATAAAAAATATCCAATTTTGACGGAATTTATCCTTTGACAGTAGAGTATTTAAAAGGCTACAGATTATATTCTTTTATTCTATTATAAACATTTCTTTAGTAAAGCCCGAAGTAATTTAAGTCATTGATCTGATCTGAACTCACAGAACTTTTTGCCATTCTCTCGAATAGCCACGTCCATACGGAACCACAATGAATGTTCAACTGTCTTTTTTTATCCCAAGGTCCCGCGAGCTGATCAAGGACGCCATCCTGGACAATGACTTCATGAAGAATTTGGAACTCACACAGATCCGGGAGATCGTTGATTGCATGTATCCCGTTACATTCCCAGCTGGGTCTATCATCATTCGCGAGGGAGATGTCGGCTCCATCGTCTTCGTCATGGAAGGTAAGTCATTCATCACTGACTTTTGGTCGAGTGAATTTACAGCACGTCGCGAACGGCCTCATTTTTATCTGAAAGTGTCCGTCATCGTTCAACTATCCTGTTAGACATCTACAATATCCTATTTAAGAGCAAGTTTTTCACAGACGAAAATTTGTATAATAAAGGAGGGTTAAGGGAAAACAAAATAATGCTGGACAGTCTGTTTCCTTTAACCGGTAAAACATAAATAAAAAAAAATCCATATGATAATATAGTTTATTTAGATGCTAAAAACTTTTGTCAGTCATAATATCGATTATTAATACAAAATGACTTAATAGATATTTCAAGATTCTATCCCATTTTAGGCTTATTCTTGGTCACAAATAATTTTTTAACATACGACTTTTCCTTTAAGTGAAATATTACACTGAAATATATATATATATTTCTTATTGAACATATATTTTTATAACAAATGCTCAAAGAATATCTCGTAATGTGTCGCCAGAAGGCACCTTAAAATATTATTTTTTCGACAAATGACTATAAAATTACCTACAAATTTATGATAGTGACGTCACATATAAATTTTTTCAAGGAAGGAGAGACCCATAAAAAAATATTTTTTAGGTTAGGTTAACAGTGCCATCTCTTGTTAAAAAAAAGGCCAGACGGTGTTTTCTTTGAGCATTTGTTACAAAAACTGTTGTATCTAGCTATTAACGAATGAGTATAAGACTCGTGTGATTGGTGCACTCGTCTAACGGCTCTTGTACCAAACTTCACGCTCCTGTATTATACTGATTCGTATTAGATAGATAAAATACTATTTTGTGATTCTATGAAAACCCATATACGATTTCCTAATGACTTACTAATTTTTTATCTGCCAAAAAATCACATTAAACTCGTCGACTCGGTATAGCGCGTGATACGAAAAGGGCTAAATGATCAGATTATAAAAGTGTCAATTTGTTTTTGTAAGCTATAAAAAGCCTATGTACGTATATCGTCAAGAGGTACATACAACCTTTGAATAGTTTCCCAGTCAAAATAAACGACGTCCAATCGATAAATCTTTATTAAAATGTAAAGCCTATGTTCACAATGCTCGACACAGTGAAAGACTGTAAATCGATATAATTTTCTGATCACTTTCGGATATAACATTGCGGCTTGCGAAGGTCATGTCGCTATTGTGTATCATAGAATTGACATTGCGCAATCGCGCTTCGCTTGACCATTTGCGTCAGTCTGGGGGATCGCGTTACCGGGTTCAAGAGTAATTGCATAAGGTTGCCTAGAAAGTAAAAGGACTGTACGTTTGTTCCTCGGGACTGCTAGCCATTTTTTACCCGTCATTGTCATTGCTACACACAATCAAGTCGTTCTACAAGGCGGCAGTTGGTAATGAGCACGAATAGTATTCGTTACACTGTACGAAATACGTAAGGGAATTATACTCGTGTCGCGAGCTATAGAAAAATTCAAAGAGTCAAACACACATTACCTTTTGTTGTACTAATCTCTGATATTTAAATTTTTCAAAGATGCAACGGAGCCTTGTAAAGTAAAAAAAAATCAAAACCCATTAAATGTCCATTCAAATTCATGATATTATTATAGCTAGAAAATGGAAATTTATGCCTCCTCTTTAAATTTAGAATTAAAATAGGTTAATTGGATATTTGTTAAGGCGATATAGAAGTGTCGAGGAATCGACAAATTTAGCTAACAAGATATAACGTGACCAATAGATCCTGATCTGCTGTCGTTCGAACGTAAGCCGATTAAAAAGTTCCAGGTCGATTCTTCGTGTTGCTCATTTTCGAGTAGCATTTATGTTTGCTGTGTGATATTCAAGCGCCATCACGAACGTACATCCGGAAAAGTAGGTACCCGGATGTCAGAGCGATCGACATCGGCTGCAACTGTGAGACACCCGTTGTAACGTAGGAACGGCAGAATGCGGATGAGAACCACTGCCCTTTCTCTCGCAGCCAGCACCGATAGTGGGGGTTGACAGCACGAGAGGAGAGGGCTTCGTAGACGGTCTTAGCGGCAGCACTTTTCACCAGTAGTCGGGAACGCTGTCAGTGAGCGTCCGTTACAAAGGGGTCTTACTGCGTTTCTCCTGGCTCTACTCGTCCTGCTCCCTCGTCACCGCCGTGTCTCGTCATTGTCATTGTTTCTCTCGTAGTCACTCGGTCGTCCCCTTCGACCATTCGCTCAAGAAATCTGTTCGGTGCTACTCAAGTGCATGCTGAATAAAGCAACTAGCACTGCAGATCAGCTTTGCCACTTTTCATCGAGTGAACGTAAAGATTCGAACTCTCGAATACTCGGACCCCTTATTGTTACACGTTGGTGCGTAGCGTTACTTCGCATGCGTCTTGTTTTTCATTCGCTTCCACTCGTTCCTGGTGCAACAATTATTCCAAGTGAAAGAGTGATAGGAACGCTGACAAGAAGATGGTGAAAATTTGCAAGGGACGTCCGAAAGCGTCGTGGGATGAGATGAAAGTTCGTGCTATGTGATATCGTGGGCGTTCTTGTAGTCCTTCGGAGTCCTGACTAATCTCACGGAGACAAGGAGAGGAGCCGAAGGCCGAGTGTTCTCCAGTTCCTTTAAAGTGTCGCTATGGGGTCGCTCGAGACGTTAAAAGGTGCATTCACGATTACGCTTCGCGGAGGACGCCTTTCTTGAGGATCTTCAAGCTCAGGGCATCGGGCGACAGCTGGGCACGGGTCTATATCTCCTTTAGCTTCTCTACTTCCCTGAAGACTCAGCGCGAGACAGAGGCGCTGTCTGGGTATACATATTTTGGGGAAACGTGTAATCGCTATGATGAAGGTCAGGAATTACCCGGGAAGGGCTGTCTTGGAAGACTCTGAGCTCCTGTTAGATCCAGATGCGACCAGGGGCCGCGCAATGGAATTACTTTATGAGGCCAGTTGGCGCGAGTGTGGCGTTAATTGGACGGGCCCCTCCAGGACGAAAAGGTCTTCGCGACAGGAGCAATTGGAGTATAAGCAACCGTATGCGGATGTTATCTCGCAACTGGAAGGCGTATTAAATGGCGCAGGATCATCGAGTCCTAAAGAAGGAAGATCCCAACGATCAAGCAGCAACGAGACGACTGACAGCGAGGAATCAGAGATTGGACAATCTGGATTTCTTATTCCCAGACCGAGACTCATTGTTCCTGTTCACACTTACGCCAGGAGAAGACGCACCGGTGCTCCTCCTCTTAGAACGCGACCTCCCCGCGAAGGTGACCGATCTAGTTTACTATTGTAATTTATTTATATATTTTTATTATATTTTTTTATAGCGTATATATACTCTTACGGTCTCGTTGCCGTCACAGATCCTCACTAGGTAATGCAGGGAGCCACGTCGAGCATTCCGGGAAATATTTGAATTCGAACTGAAATCTGTTATATTATTGTGCTAATGCATCGTTATTTAATGCCCCATGGCATAACGACTGTTTTCCATCCATGCATTGTGCATTTTTTCTTTATTTATCTATTCACATCGTACTCTTTTAAAACCTTCCTATAAACTTCACTTGGGCGAAATATGTCCTCAAATCTGTGATCAGATTTTTCATCCACTCTCTTTGCTCCTAGAGAGCAGAAAATTGGTACGTGTACTCATCTCTGGAGATAATATCAATATTACATTTTGATAATATTACAATTTGAGCACCCTGTGATAATCCCCTGTAAATACAGATAAGGAAAAAAGGAGTTTTTCAATACTAAAATCCTTCTGTTAATAGTACACCTTACCGAGGTTACATAAAATATCTGTTGAAAGGATTTCATGTATACTCCTGAAATTGTTTTTCTTCATGATTTCTATCGAAATCATTAATTCTGCTGTAATCAAATATAATACTTGTCAGCGTGACACATTTTTTTCAGTTATCTGTGTTTAAAGGCGAAATATAACTTGACGATTATCTAACAGAACCCGATTGTCTGTCCTGTTTTACTCGAAAGTTTGTTAGAGAAAGTCCTGCAGAGGAAGTGTAAAAGCCGGAAGGATATTAGAGGCTATTGTGACACGATCGCTCACGTCAATTGTCATTTAGAAAAGTCATCGTAATGTGACTCGAATAACTTTATATCTCTTTCTGTATATCTTTTTGTATCCACGTGTTTTTATTCGATCGTTACGAAATGAAGTAAATTCGAATCGATTTTGAATAAGCTACAGTCACGAAGCAAAAGATCATAATTTCAATGACCGCGATCGCTCGTGCATCGAATGCGTTAAAGAATTGGAATTTTCAACAGTCAGTGCTTGGAACGTTGGTGGTTAAATGGATTCGTCATCGCCCAATGTCATCAGTGACTTCACCGAACGGCTTCTTAAAGAATATGTTCTTTAGTCATAGTCAGGAACTGTTCGTTAACTACTGATCCGGTAATTGACAAAATTTTCTATAGAGAATCATGCTTTATCAAAGTTACAGGGGCCATCGATAGTTTTATCATTTATCATTCACTTAATGACACGAACAAATTCCATAATGGATTTTCGGAAAAGCCATTTGACCTATTTGCCATTCTTGTTAACCTGATTTTCAATTTTCTCCCTCCATCCCCCTTTTCTTCTTTTCCTCTTTTTTTCCTCTTTCCCTCCGATAGTGAGAGAGGTTGTCAGTTCACTGAGGCGCACAGTCACTCACAGGTAGCACGCTAGTCACGAATGGCATGTCCTGTTACGATGAACCAGTCGAAGAAGAAACCGTTAATATCACCTGTACAGAAGTCACCCAATTTTTTGTCGTACCGTACTCATTTTTCATTTGATGTCTTAGCTCGATTATCATTGTTCTACTTTATACTAGAAGTTGTGATTTTTCGGTAGGAGTTACCGAAAGTCACTTATGTCGATTAATAATTATGAAAATTAGGTGACTTCGATTTGTAATTGGTTTATAAGATCGATACGTTTGTTAGTTTTATTTGCTTCTTAATTTTTGTTATTTGAATACAGAATTTATTAACAATATGGTGCTAATTTTGCGACAAGGAACGTCGTGGTGTTTTGGGAAAGCTAATTTTCAGTTTTCGAAGTCCTGTAAGATTTTGTCCTGAAGGGAGCAAATTTCAATTGAGAGTAATTTAGTGTAAAAGTTCTTGAAAGGAGAATGTCAAATACTCTTTTTCATTTTTAAATACCAGGGAACACGTTTATCTTGAAACACAACCGCATGCGGTTTTACTTTTATAAACGAATAATATTACATTTTTAATTTTTTTTTTTATTCGTGCTTGATTATGATCGCATCATATAAAATCAGTGTTGAAAGGCTTAATCATTTCGTGGATGCAATGCTTCGGAACTGGAAGTGGTGGACATCTGTAAATAGTACTGTTTCATTTAAATCTTGAATTTTTTTTTGAACTTTTAATACAGCATTTGCGGATGAGAATTGTCACATAATTCAATACCTTCTACAAATTATAATGTTATATGGTGTAAGTCATTATCATCTTTAAAGTCATTATTTTTATGAATTACTTCAGATTTTCTTAGTAGAATGAAAAGAAACAGCATATTACACAAAAATTTCAAACAAATTTATGCATCAGTAATATGTCCAAATGAATATTATTATTATAATAATAATTATTATTATTACTGCTATATTACCAAAAATCTTGATACTTAAGTACGACAGCAGAAATGTGTAATTAAAATATAAAACAACTTATGCTTCTACAAGCAATCATAGATATTTTCTAAATAAAATAAATAACTTTAATAAATTCGCAGGTAATTTGCTACTTAGTGAGAGTTCATGAAAGCAATGAAAACCTAGCCAAGGGTCTGTTGTTGATCCGAGAGCAGGAATAGAGTGATGTAAACAGACAGTGATGTAAGGGTTCGATAGATTAGAGTATAGGTTACTGTGGACACTGCAATATTGCGGCATGCAAATAGTCGAAACGTGTGCCGGGGAGAGGAAAAGAGAGAGTGAGAAAGTAAGTGTGGGGCGGGGTAGCAGACAAGAGACCAAATGGGGATGTATTGTATGTGAGTCGTGAATTCTTTGTCCTGTTATGCCGTCACGGCGAGCTGGTCGCCAATGCCCAGCGCGGCTTCGGGTCTTGAAGCTGGACGAGTCAGAGTGCTTGGCTGGCAGGACGGCTGGTCGCAGGCGAACCAACTTCGCTCGGGTTCCTTTGCTCCTTGTTGAGGTCTCAGGTCAGCTATAGCGGGTGTCCTCTTTCTTCGCCCTAGTACACTCCCAGTTACAAAGACACGAACTTCAATGATCGGACCTTCCTCTTCGGACAAGAAACAAACAGGCCACTGATCTTTTGTGTTTCATTACCTTAATGCTTAAGTTAGGCACTTGGTTCTCTGTGAATTTGATGTTTACTCTCTTTATTGGAATTTAAATAATGTTAGTCGTAATGGATATTTCATCAAGTACATGTCTCATCAGCAGTTAGATCGAATTTTCGTTTGGAATTATTTCCAAGCTATTTTCGATTCTATGGTTAAGGAGTAATTTCAACGTAACATTTATCTGGCTCTTTATACTTGCTACATGATATTGCAATGTTCAAATATTCGTGTTTTTATTATTCTTTTTCTTATGCTCGTTTCGTCGTATCTCTTGAAACTTTGTCAATAACATCGGCATCACTTTCGATCTAATTACTTCGCTTGAGAATTTGACATCGTAAGAGAAAATAAAAAATTTTTAGTGACAAACAGGAAATAATGAGGCAACTGATTAATTATCTTTTGTTCTTCTTGATTTTAAACGGACGGCACGTACTCTTACGGCTGTGGTATTTAATATTGAAATTTTTAAAATTAAGTATTCGCGATATTGCAAAACACACGTTGGAAGAAGATCACGTATGGTACACGGAAAATATCAACATGGGACCATGGTGGACTCCATATCGTGCTTCTTCATACAATTTATCTTAAAATGTCTTTTAAAGCGATGGTTGATATGAATGAAATTAAGTATATAACAAATGCTCGTTAATATAAATGGTCACCAAATGGTAATCTTCTCCTTTCTATCATTTTTTACAGATTGAAGCAAACACTTATAAACCAAAGTTATGTTAACAAATTAACGTTCTGTTCAATGAAACTTAAGAAAAAAGAAATGGAAACAGTATTTAAAATTTCTTTGTCATGTTTATAAGCTGAAGCGTTATGCAATTTAATATTTAATCTGGAAGTAAATCTTGTACTAGGAATTTGAAATAGTCAAGAAAACCTTGTCTAGACTTACGACGGTACCTACATGAACTCATAAAAATGCCAGTAAATTAATTGCGTGCAGGCAGTATGTTCGTGACGAATCATTATTTGTTTTTTGTTTTTTTTTTCATTTCCGCAGTGTGTATAAATAAGCCGCAAGTTGAAACATGCAATTCGCTTCCGCCGAATTGTAGATAGTGTACGAAGTCCTTATATGAGGAAGCATTTTTATTTATTTTTTTTAATCTTTGGCTTCCTCATAGATGAATCTTCATTTACTACCGACAATTCAGAGGAAGTAAATTGCAAAATTTAAATCCTTGGCTTCCTCATATAGGGACTTCAAAATTAAAAAATTTGAATATATGGAGAATCAGAACCGTTTTGCCGATCTTCGCCAAATTTGATACATAGATCACAGCTAAATGATGTTCTATACTTTTAGAAAGTTGGAGCTCAATCGGTGAAAGTTGACGGGAGTTATATTGATAAATTTGATTTTTCGAAAAATTCAAAATATAAAATCAAAACTTCTCGATGGATTCGGCCCAAATGCAATACCAACCAACCTTGGACACAAATCTCTTAGTCAAGAACTATTTAGATGATTATCACAAAATTTGCGATCGCTAGAGTGATAACGTCCTGTTTTTGGGAATTTGAAAATGACATAAAATTCGAGCCGCAGCTTGAATTATGACGAAAACTATAGTCAGTGAATGCATTATGGAGCTGGATATGCCTGCAAAATTTGAGGGCTGTAGCTAAAACCGTTCTCGAGTTTGAATTTTGGGAGGCCATTACACACACACATAAATCCGGACATTTTCTCCAAATGTGTTTTGGCACAGATTTGGCACATTCTGAACATGGTGACATGAAGATCTAAAAAAAAAAAGTTTCCACCGTCTTCTAGCTTCCTCTATGAGGAATTAAAAATAAATAAATTTGATCAGGGGAACTTTAAAAGATACCCTTCTGCCATATGCTTGGGACCGACGAGTCATCAGTTAAGTATGA